TTAAAGTCTCCTTAAGGGGACTCTGTGAGAAATCTAGAGACTAGTCAAGAAGCTATAGTATCCAGTCATTTTAAAACAGACGGGATTCCAACAAAAGAGGTATAAATATTTGCAGCATTTGGCATGCCTATCCCTGTCCTTCCCTTTTGCAGTACAATGCTGAGCAACCAAGAGGAAATCCCTCATACTAGAGCTCTCCCTCAGGATAGAAATAAAAGAGTATACCACGTGCCCAGCATTCTAGCTTATTTGGGGGCAATTGGGGGACTGGTTTCTATCTTGCCTGATTTGGACCACTGAAAGGACTGATACCAGAGTTTGGAAGCCACTGAAAACAGGCAAGCAGCATGTTAGAGCTGCAGAACCACAAGTAGACACCAAGTAGACACCAGGGGGAGCAATAGATCAGAAAAGGTTTGAAATGTCCTAGAACCTGCAGCCGAGTCCATTGGTGAAGGTCTTCCCCAGCACAAAGCCAATATACAAAGACTGGGAAAGATGGTTTTTCAAATGTCCAAATCCCATCAAAAGATTACATGGAAAACAAAGAAACATAGAAATATGGACCAATCAAGGGATCAAAATAAAATTCCGGAAAGAGATTCTAAAGAAACACAGATCTATGCATCATCTGACAAAGAATGTAAAGTAACTGTCATCAAGATGCTCAATGAGCTAAAAGAGAACACAGACAACTAAATGAAATCAGGAAAACAATGCATGAACAAAATGAGAATATCAACAAAGAGATATAAACTATAAAAAAGAACCAAACAGAAACCCCAGAGTTTAATAATACAGTAGCAATACTGAAAAGTTTATTACAGGAGTTCAACGTAAAACCTCATGAAGCATTCCCCACCGGCTGCTCTGAAAAGCCACCTTTGCACCGTTCCTGTGGCCGCCTCCGCGCTCCTCACAGCCACTCCGGCAGCTTCTTTGCCAGAGTCCTCCAGCGCTCGCTTTGGAAAAAAAAAATCCGCTGCATCAGATCACCGGCGTGTCCCACCGTGTCAGACACGGCCGTGGACACCGGCTCCGAGAGCGCCACCGAGGACTTGGAGGAGGCGGGGAACCGAGGAGAGGCGCCCGCGAACGGGAACGCTAACGAGGCGAATGCGGAGCGGGAGGCCCACAATGCGGTCGATGAAGAGGAGGAGGAGGAGAAGGAGGAGGGTGACGGTGAGGAACAAGGCGGAGATGAAGGTGAGGAGGCCGAGGCAGCTACGGGGAAACGGGCAGCTGAAGATGACGAGGATGACGATGCTGACACCAAGAAGCAGAAAACCAACGAGAATGACTAGACAGCAAAAAAGGAAAAGTTAAACTTAAAAAAAAAAAAGGCCGCCGTGACCTATTCACCCTCCACTTCCCGTGTCAGAATCTNAAAAAAAATAAAACTTAAAAAAAAAAAAAAAAGGCCGCCGTGACCTAGTCCCCCTCCACGTCCCGTGTCAGAATCTAAACTCAGAACCTAAATGTGGTCGCCTTGGAGTAGAGACTCCCGCCCGCCCGCGGATGACCCGCACTCGCCGCCACCCAGCCAAAACCACAACGTGAATCTGCAGCAGGGGAGGAGAAAAGAACCCAAACTTCCAAGGCCCTGCTTTTTTTTCTTAAAAGTACTTTAAAAAGGAAAATTTGTTTGTATTTTTTATTTACATTTTATATTTTTGTACATATTGTTAGGGGTCAGCCGTTTGTAATGATCTGGGGATGACCAAACCAGCCTTTGGAGCGTTCTCTGTCCTACTTCTGACTTTACTTGTGGTGTGACCATGTTCATTATAATCTCAAAGGAGGAAAAAAACCTTGTAAAAAAGCAAAAACAACAACAACAAAACAATCTTATTCCGAGCATTCCAGTAACTTTTTGTGTATGTACTTAGCTGTACTGTAAGTAGTTGGTTTGTATGAGATGGTTAAAAGGCCAAAGATAAAAAGGTTTCTTTTTTTCCTTTTTTTGTCTGAAGTTGCTGTTTATTTTTTTTTTGGCCTGTTTGATGTATGTGTGAAACAATGTCCAACAATAAACCGGAATTTTATTTTGCTGAGGCGTTCTAAAAACAAAAAACAAAACAAAAACCTCATAAAGCAGAAGAAAGAGCAGTGAACTTGAAGTCAAGTCATTTGAAATCATTGGAGTCAGTGGAGTAAAAAGAAAAAAAGAATGAAGCAACGAGAACATAAGGTACTTATGGGACACTATCAAGATGATTAATATACATATTAGGGAGTCACAGACAAAGAGACAGAAAAGGATTGAGAGCTTATTTGAAGAAATACAGGCCAAAATTTCCAAAATCTGAGGAAAGAAATGGACACACGGATTCAAGAAGCTTAAAATATTCCAACTAGGAATGCAGACTGGTGCAACCACTATGGAAAACAGTATGGAGGTTCCTCAAAAAATTAAAAATGGAGCTGCCTTTTGACCCAGTGATCTCACTCCTAGGAATGTATCCTAAGAATCCTGAAATATTCATCAGAAAGGATGTATGTACCCCCATGTTCATAGCAGCGCAATTTATAATAGCTAAGATCTGGAAACAGCTCAAATGTCCATCAGTAGATGAATGGATTAAAAAGCTGTGGGACACTTACACCATGGAATACTATGCAGTTATAAAGAAGAAGGATCTTGTACCTTTTGGGACAGTATGGAGGGACCTGGAGAATATTATGCTAAGCGAAATAAGCCAGGCAGAGAAAGACAAACATCACATGATCTCACTTATATGTGGAATCTAAAGAACTTAATAAACTGATGAACAGAATAGATTCAGTGACATGGAAGCATGGATCAGACTGACAAATGTCAGAGGGATGGAGGAGGGCGGGTGGGTGGAGGGGAGAGAGTAACCAAAGAATTTATATGCATATATGCACAACCCAAGG